ATTGTCATTGGGGGATTTTACCGTCCGCCCAATTGTGGTGATGAGTTTGTGGAACAATAAATGAGTTTTTGTGTCAGTATAAAACAAATAGTTGTAACGTCTTAATCGGTGGAGACATTATTTTCCTCATGATGAATTGGTCGGATGAATGTCCACATGCCATCTCTGCTGCATCTGTATCTTTTCTTGATGTTTTGCTGTTCCATGACTTGACGCAGCTTGTGAAAACGCCCACTCGCATTCAAAACGAATCTAGCACAATTTTGGACCTGATTCTTGTTCGTAGATGTATATATATCCGCAGTCCGGTAATAGAAATTACGACGGAATTTCGGACCATAAAAGTGCGTCATTAAGCTTTCAACTGTACTATGCTAAAATGCCTGATAAAAAGACTGTTTTCGTACCCGTATTCTAGCGTGCTAGTCATGTGGGCATAATAGACGCTTTTGGTCATTCTTAGTCCGATTCGCTAACGCTTTCCAAAAAAAGTGAATGTTCTGTTGACCGATTGCGGTGCTTTTTTAAAGACCTAGTAATGAAATGTATCCAAAACTTTGTTCCTCGCAAACGCAAGGTATTAAACCGGTCTAGCCCCTTGTCACAAAACGAGTGCCCAAAAAGGGCGCGCCACCAAATTCTCGCGACGGAACACTGGAAGGATGCCTCGAGGTCAACGATAAAAAAAGAAAACAAGCATCCAAAGACTCCCCGGGCGCGCGTCCCTCTCCCCTCGGAAGCGTGGGTTCGCCGACGAACCTCCTCTCATCAGCGCCCGAGCAAGCCCTGGAACGTTCTCAATGGAAAGAGGCGTGGTGATGCAGGGTTGCGTCAACCGTCGCGGACGGCCCTCGTACCGTCTCGCCCTTTCCCCAGCCTTCGCTGCGCATCGCGCCGACGAAATGATGAGAATTTTCTGGAATCTCGTGCGGAAGGTATTTAACGGAGCAGCAGGGATGGGAGATCAGGAGAAGAAGGAAGTTAGCGCCAGTGTGCGTGGGGTATTCCGCCGCGTCTGTTGGTGAAGGTTTTGTCCTTAGTGACAAAGCAGAAGAAGAAAGTATGCGCCGGAGTGCGTAGGGTGTTCCGCCTTGTGGGCGAAGCCTTTTGTCTTCCGTGACAAAGGAGGAGAAGAAGAGGCTTTCCACCTGAGGGGTGAAGACTCGAGCTACAGGCAAGAGTGTGTGTCTACCGCTATCGAGTGAAGACGCGTGGCAACAGCTGCGTGTGTGAAGCCGACGTGTTTCCGGCGAAGACGTTTGGAGCCTGGAGAGCGGCCAATTGAAGACGCGAGGTTTCCTGGAAGAGAAACTTCGGGGGCAGCAGAACGACAACAACGCTGAATTTTGGGTGAGTGATTCTCGGAAGAGTGTCATCCAGACTTTTGTTCCAAGAACTTTGGACTGAATAAGTTTCCTAACTCTTTAGTCTTTAAGTGTCTTGGTTGTTCGATTCATGCGACTGCATTGTAGTGCGTATTGTTGTCCGTGCCCGTTGTTTCGAGAGTGGCTGATTGTACTGCGTAGTACGTTGTTTGAATAGTGACATATTGTATTCAACTATTGTTGAGTGTGCATACTTGTGTATCGTTTTGATCTGCCATAATTGAGAATATGATTTTGCTTTCTTTAACGACTCTCGGCTATGACTTGTTCTTTGGGCCACAGCTGGCGTCCGCTGGCGCGCCAAATAGGACCACTTCCAAATTGTCCACGCTTTCGTGGTGCGGTTCGGGGGGCCGATACTTTGGCCCTTGAAATTAGCCCGGTGATCGCCTCCCGAATTAACGGGACCCGTAACACCCCTGGATTACGAAAGAAATCGTATGTCTGGGGCGCGAGCTAAAGAAGGCAAGAAAGTGACAAATAGAACGACCATCATTGTGTGGACTAGATGATATATCAGAGATGCGTCACACACTGAAAGCCAAATTCAAAAGTGCAAAGAAAAATATCAAAGCGAGGCTTTCACAAACTTTCTCTTGACATCACCAAACAGGTTTTGGCAATATGTTTCATCCAAAAAAAGTCCAGTATCAAGCTTATCTATTAAGGGTGATGTTATAACCGACAAGAGGGAGATAGCAGGCGCGATGAATGATTGCTTCTGTCCGGTGTACACGCGTGATAATTACGTTACCCTTGATTTCATCACCTATGACACCATGCCACCTAGCGATGACGTCTGTATCACAGAAGGGGGTGTCTTATTGCTTCTGCTCAATCTCGATCCAAAAACGTCACCGGGCATTGACTCTCTACCTAACGCCTTTCTGATAAGGTATGCTGAATGGAATGCCAAATACCTGCTGAATGGTATGCTGAATGGAATGCCAAATATCTTTAAATCATCTCTCCTGCGCGCTGAACTTCCGATGTGATTGGAAGCACGCTAAGATCACTCCAGTACCAAAAAATGTTGACCATTCGCTTGTATCCTCGTTTAGGCCTATCTCCTTGCTATGCACTAGTGTCAAATTTCTAGAGCGTATAACATTCAAATATTTGTCTATGTTTGTCGAAAGAAATAACCTAATCACGCCCCTTCAGCACGTCTTTCGCAAAAGATATTCTACGGTAAACCAGCTTATTGAGACGTTTCATCACCTAGCAGCAGCGATCGATATGAATGGTCAAGTAGATGTTATATTATTGGATTTTGAGAAAGCTTTCGATCGTGTGAGTCACCAGAAATTACTTGCATGGATAACTGCTTATTTTTAAACGAGGAACCAATGTGTTGCTATTGATGGTGTCACCTCGAGTTCCACCTTGGTAAAATTGGGCGTGCCTCAAGGGTCAATTTTAGGGCCGTAGTTTTTTGTGTTATTTATTAATGATATTGTGCTAAACTTGCCCGTAAAAATAAAGCTTTTCGCGGACGATTGTATACTATATCGAGAAATTTATAGTTGCAGTGATCAAGAATCTTTAAATACTGCACTAGCAACGCTACAAACGTGGTGAGAAAATTAGCAGATGACATATAATTATAAAAAAAACAGTAGCAATGCGAGTTACGCGTAAGAAACAGCCGCTTCTGTTTACCTATCACGTCAATGGTCATGCGTTATCCGAACTCACTAAACACAAATATTTAGGACTCATACTCACATCAGGCTTAAAATGGAATGAACACATAGAATATATTGAAAGAAAGGCAATGAAAAGGCTTGGCTATTTGCGAAAGAGGCTTGTGAATGCCACACCACACATCAAACTTCTCGCGTACAAAACTTTCATTAGACCAGTATTAAAATATGGAGCTGCAGTGTGGGATACCTTTACTGAGTCAATATTTAAAAATTAGAAATGGCCCAAAGAAAATCTGTCCGATTTGTTTTTAACTGTTATAGTTGGCGTACTTCCCCTTCACTTCTACTAATTAAAGCGGATCTCGAAAAACTACAGGAAAAAAGAAGATTGGAGAGGCTGAAGCTTTTTTACCTCATTTTCCACAACAAAATTTGTATCAACAAAACAGTGCACATTAGACAAACAAGTGAATGTGCTGTGCGCTCACATCATTCAAAGAAAGCTTTAGATTACGTAAACCGCACAGACACATTCAGGTATTCATTTTTTTCCAAGAGCTACCCGTGAGTGGAATTGCCTATCACCCGATGCTGTACAGTGTTCAACACTTGATTTATTTCTACATGCTCTCAATAACCACTAACAGTTTTTTTGTACAGTCATGTAGCCCAGAGTTACGCAATGCTTCCATTTTTTAGTACGTTTCAGTCAGCAAAGCTATGCCATTGTTGTAATGTTTTTCTTTAGTTTTTCGTAAATTATTACAGAAGTGTTGAATTGTAACCACTGTCAGTATGCTGTGTGATGTCAATTATGTTTTTGTAGTAAACATTTTTTATGCCTATTCCTGCTTAAGACCTGGTAAACAGGTCAGCAGTATGTAATAAATAAATAAATAAATAAATAAATAAATAAATAAACTAGCAGCTTATCTACGTAGAAGCGTTGGGTGTATGCACAAACTATGTCATTCATTAACACTTTGGCTCAGGAAAGCGTTCTACTCTGTTCTACTCAAAGCTAAGTTGTCGTGTATTGTGTTGGGGAACAGCGACCACACAAAACTATAAAAAAATAAATACGTTACGGAAAAAGTACTGCGATCGTTCTAAGGATATTGTGGTCACCCACAAAATTTTATCACATGTCCGTTATTTTCCAAATATCTGATATGACAAGTAAATCAAATATATTATGATAAGTTACTTTTGTACATTCAAAAAAGCAAACTGTACTTCGTGTATGACTTTTTTCAATGTGTTAAGTACTGTCTCCGTATACCTGACATAAGAATACCGAGAACTAGGACCACCTATGGTCCACAACATACTATCAAATACCATGTATCCTCATGAAACTTGTAAGCATAATTTGTCTAACTAAAAAAGTTTCCAGAAATGAATTTAAGGAAATTTTCCTTGAGAATGGCAATGAATACGTTCAATACAGATATTTGGGTTAGATATGTCCAAATGATTTAGAGTGCTATTTCAATCCTTCTAGTTTTTTGTTATTGTTTTGTGTTTGCTCGTTTTATAAATGTATATGTTTGCAGATGCGTTCTTGAGCTCACCTATTCTACATATTGCGATAATAATATTTTAACGGTCTTTTATTACTGAACATAATTCTGTTCATTTTTCACATTTGTAATGTTTATTAGTCCGATTACAATATGCTGATTGTTTGTGTTCGTATGAAAAATTCTTTGTTGGCGTCTAAATTGTGTACACATGTTTTTTTATGCCAGATTGTATTTCAGTGCATTAGCCTCCGTCAGGAGGCAATTGCACTGAAATACAATCGTAAATACGTAAAAAAAGAAAACCCTAAAGAAAACCCCAAACCTCAAACCTAGCTGTCCAGAGCAGAGTAGCCAACAGGACGTCCGTCTAGTCTAAGCTTTTTTTTTTCCACCTCTTTCCTGATTTGAGTGCATGACCTGTGTGTGAGGACAACGCTCACCTGAGAGCAAGGTTCTGGTCGAGAAATCCCACATTGCCCGGCGCCTCGGGTGTGTCGGCATTGAGGAATCCCAGTAGCCCAAGGCGGTAGTTTAGCGAGACCACCACCAGTCCCGTTTTGGCGGCGATCGCCGCGCCCGTGTAGTTGTCGTACGCGGCCTGACCCATAGTTGAATCCTCCGCCATGGATCCACACCAGCACGGGGCGCTTGCGGTTCCCCTCCGCGGTCCACACGTTCAGGTGCAGGCAGTCCTCACCGTACTCGATGTCGCCGCCCAACAGGCCTTCCGGCGCACGCACCTGCGGGCAGCCCGTGCGACGACTGCTCGCGTTCAGAGTGCCATCCCAGGCCTGCAACGCAGTGAGTGTCACGCAGCTGAATTTCTTTTGAAGAATGTTGTAGCAGCTTGAAGTGCACCACGAACAGATAAGTGCCTGGTAGCCTTTGGAAACGCATGCATAGTATTAGGATTATCACGTAATTATTTGCCCCAAGAATTCTAAACGGACAAGTTGCACAAGAAATGTAAAACGTCTGAGTATTTATCCGTATACCGGGTGTCCTTATAACGAGTGAAACTTCTGACAGCAGTTTCACTCGTTTCATTGTGCGGACAGTCACAATGCGCACTACGGAAAAGTTTGTAGTATGTGATGACTAAAAAAGGCATCGTGGCTCTCGCGTGCGGAGAGCTACCAAAAAAGGAAGATGAAGACAGAATAGAACAGCTTGCCCGACGAACGGGTGTTGTCTCTTCTCTCGCTCACTACAATGATGCAGCCTGACAACTGAGCCTTCCGGCTGAAGCTATCAGCCTTCATGGGTCATCGGCAGCAGGGTCTCTCCATCTGAAGAACACCGTCCACGCTTCCTTGGACATGAACACCACGACCTTACGACTGCCTTTGGATGAAATGGCTACGACTTTACTTCCATCGCCCATTCCAACCTCACCGCGAACGAGAATTGAGCTCTCGAGCGGCATCACCTCGAGGCTGGTACTGCGCACCGCTACGTGTCGACAGCAAGCTTCCCGACCTGCCCTCATACGAACACTGGACTTAGGCAGCGCTGTTACACTGCGCCGGTGTCCTACACAGTACCACCTACGACAAGGAGCCAAGACCACATTGCCTCCAGAGGTGTTGCTCTAGCGTAGCCCGAGCTCACGTTCCCTTGGTGACCTGGATGCGCCAAATGCACTCTGTTAAGTTTGGCCCGGAAATTCGTCTGGGCAGACGCCATTGTGCGTAAGCAGGTCTACTGGGGAAGCTCTCAATCTCTTCGGCGCCCAGTCTGCCAGACGCTGTCGAAGATTTTACCCAGACAATGTGGTAAGCAAAGGCGAGTTCCCGACTTTCAAATGCGGACCTTTTCGTCGTTCCTTCAAGCAGCAGCGGTGCCTGATGACCCTGGTGATTCATCTGGCGACGGGGAAGCTGTTGTGACCGGCGCCAGAGCTGACAGGAGAGCGGCGCTCCTTTTTAATCTCCAATCAAGTAGACGACCGGCCGGCTGCCTATGCTCGTCAGGCATTGTCCGTGCTAGCCGGAGGATGAGACATCATGTCGCCAAGACGCCGTTAACCGTTCGAGAGAGGCCAACAAAGACAGCATCTTCCTGGAAGAGACCGCGGCGGCCACCGCAAATCACCCCGCTAATTAAGCGAACAAATCGGCGGACCCTTTGATGTATGCTGTCAGGATCGTGGGACCTCTCGGCTAGCGCCACACACACGACGAGGAAGAGCCCTTATGGCGCCACCTTAGCAGTGCAGTGTTCACGACTCAATATTGGACGTTCACGTGAACCGTGCATGCTCGTCCCCCTCAGCTGTTGTGTGTGTGTGATTGGTGTTCCACTCGGAGAGGAGGAGCCCGACAGGGCTTAAAACGACGCCGCCGAGTGCTGGACGTCACTCTGAACTGTGTAACGGTTCATCCACCACGCTCGTGGTTTATGAAACCCCCAACCTTTCTTTGCTGTAAATATGTGTAAATAGTGCCATAAACTTGTTTGTTTTTCGTATCCTCCAGCGACCTTCCTTCTGACCCTTAACAACTGGTTGGCAGCGGTTAGATGAACTTCACGACGTGGTGCTGTGCTGTGGTGAATGCTTGGTCTTGGCTTTGACTTTCCAGGTTTCAATTGTGTGAGTTTATTAGACGCTGGATTGTGTGTGAATTAGGGAGATTACCGTTTGTGAGTTTTGAGTTGCAGGGATCCCCTAATTATGTGTGAAATGCAGGACCAAAGTGCAACGGCATTCATGGCGTGGAAGGCAATGCTAAGGAATGAACTTTTGGCTGTGAGTAAGCATCTAGGCATTGAAGTAGAGGAAGGAATGGGCAGGACAGCAATTGTGAGGCTGATCTCGCAAAAAGCCAGTGAGGACGAGATTAAAAATGCAGTAGAGATTTTTGAAAAAAATGAAATAAGGGATAGAAAAGAGCGTGATCGAGCACGCGCCTTGGTGCTCGAACAATTGGAACAGAAAATCGAGGCAATGAGATGGAAAATTCAGCCATCCGCAACTGTAGCGCACGAGAAGTGCGATAATCAAATGAATGAGGTGCAGCGCAGAGCTTTAGAGAAGGCTAGCACGTTTAAAGACAGCAGCAGGTTCGACGATGAACCAAATCTGAGTGCTGCGAAAGATGCTGCGCTGAGTAGCGAGGCCGACGAAGGCCAGATCAAGTGCGACGAGGGGCTGTGTCAGTTTAATGCTAGCGAACCAGCTAGGATAGCTGTAGAAAGGCTGGGACAGACCTCAACTGTGTTTGTCGCGACGGTGGATCTTGCAAATGAGGTTGAAGAAGTCAAGAACACCGGAAAAAGCTCCGGAGAAGCAGCGAAAGTAGATGATAAGAACCATGCGGTTGTAGACAGCTCCCATGAATGCGAGCGAGATTTTTCTGTGAGAAACACCGGCATTGTTCTTCAGCGTGTTACGCTGTCCGCCAGTCTAGAATGTGAAACAGATGTTTCTTTAGAAAATCACTTAGACTGCGCGGGCAAGACAGCTGACAAATGCTGTGAGAGGGTGAGCGAGTTTGAGATGCGAGCGGGAAGCTCCGAAACGAGTCGCAAAAAGCGGCGCAGACGCAAGAGACGTCGGAAAGCCGCGAGTGAGACAAGCAGCTCTACGCGTGTTGAGAAAGGTTCGAAGCCTATTAGCGCAGGAAGCAGAACTAGGAATTTTGCGTCGGCGTCAAAGTTCATTTGTATGCGTCTGAACTGCCGGACGAAAGAAAAGGGACCAGCGGGTCCATCGCAAATGAAATCAAATGGGAGGCGCCAGGTTAGTTGGGTGCGTGAGTACAAAGTTAACACAGGTGAATCGGTCCGACATGGCAACAGTGCTAGGAAATCGAACAGCCAAAGTAGTGTGGCAGGTGGTACAGAAGCACCATTGAGCTGTAGAACAACCGGTGACGCAACCCGAGGCGAAATTTTTAGTAGTGGGGGAAAGTTTGGTCGCAAACGTTGCCGCAAGAAAGCGGAACGACTAAGGAATACAAAAAGGCGGCAATCGGCCGGGCGAACGAGACAAGGGTAGGTCATCGGCCAGTTCAACGACAAGGTCTTTGTGTCGTGCAGTAAGGCACAAGCGGCGAAATGGTAGTGTACAGCACGGGTCCTCGCGACGGAATGCGCAGTGGAGATTTAGAGCTTTTCGTGGAAAAGAGTGTCGACGTGGTCCTAGAAGAAAGGCCACAATAGCTAAACACCGCAGCCCAGGAGCGAGTCCAAAAAGGGCATGGTCACTCTTTTCCACGCATTGCTCGGGCGCACTCCGCGAGCCTGACAGAGGCAGGCAGAAATCGCGAATGATGAGTGACTGCGCCGTTCAGCTTGTAGCCCAGACGCGACGTTGCCTCAGGAGTTCCCTAAATCCGGCAAGACCGCGACCGCCGCGTGTGCAATTGAAGTGAGGGACAGCTGTAGGCTGAAGAAGGTGACACAGGAATTTACTGGGAAGCATGTTTGTTTGCTTATTTTTGGTTTTAAAGTAATATTCCTTTGTCATATCCCCGGCTAGATTGTTTAGTTAGTTTTCACTTCAATGTTTTTTTTGTAAACTTTGAGAGGGCTTCGAGTTAAATTTTCAAGCGTTATGCGGAAGCAGTGACCCGCATCAGCCAGACTATTGCGTGTAATGAGCTTCTCTGATATAGGAGCGCGTCATTCGTAATTGAAGATTTGGTACGCCCGCTAAATTTGAATGCGTGGGGGCTATAGGTTATAGCGATATGATCTATGATTAGGGGTGTGTTAGTATGCTATCGTTCTTTGAATGAGAGTATGTGTCGTGCTAGGACGCACAGCAAAGTCCTGTGCGTTCTTTAAAGACAGGGGCTGACATGAGGCTACAATCATCAAATGAGCGTGTAGTATGAGAGGTTTTGTTTCCTTCATTTTGTTGTTTTAGTGATTGCTTATATTGATCATATATGATCACTTGAGCTGAGAGCATTGCGTTCACCGAACTTTGAGGCTAGACATACATTTTTAGAATTTTAGGACGCAGTTTGATCTGCTGTGAGTGAGTTTTCATTGGCGTCAGGGTGCCCTATAAGTAGGCACTCACGACTACGTTAAGTTTGTAATGAGAGAATAGAAAATACGCCCAGATACCTTTTGTAGGTTCAGGCTGCATTTGTGTGGAATTTGTAATGTGTAATGAACGCCAGTAATGTGTAGGCGTTCGATTGCGAAGAACTAGAAGTGACAATGCGTATTGGCTGATTTTGAATATGCTGTATTGATGATAAATGACAAGCATAAGTGTTGCCCCATGAGACTACACCATAATAATATGACTATGAATGAACGCAAAATACAGCGCCAGTAGAGCTTCACGGGAAAAGAAAGCGCGAGCTTTGATTAAGTGCGCGGATACCAAACGCCGTCTTCTGCTTCAGATGGTTAAAGTGACTGCGAAAGGTAAGGCATGGGTCAAAATGTATGCCGAGAAAGACGACATCAGAACAAGCAGAAATGGAATGAATACCAAGTTATATTAAGGAAATAGTAGATAATGACCTTTGAGCTTTTTTAAACACCACAAATTTAGTTTTTGTGGGGTTGATGCCTAAGTGATTACTGCTGCACCAATTCATGTGGGCCCTTAACGCAAAATTTACCTTGAAACAAGAGCATATATTTTTTCATCAGATGAAGATATTTTTGTCATCGACGTATAGAACACACTGACCACAGTCAAAAGCGCTAAGAACATCAGGAAGATCATTCATATATAAAATAAATAGCAAAGGACCCAATACGGAGCCCTGCTGTACTCCTTGGTTAACATATTTTATTGTAGAGAACGTATTGCGGCGTGTAC